TTCTTAGTTGACAAAAAAGGAAGGGAYAAGCTGTTAAGCGCTTTAGTCAGCCAATTTAGACAATGCTCTAGAATGTTTGATCATCAGGGCATGTGGATTGCTTGACGTGCRCGTAGTTGTTCGTCTGTAAACGATCGTGGATTTGCTTCAGCTTCCTTGGGACCAAGTTGAGGCAGATGAGGATTCTTTAAGTTTGCCTGTCGATAAAGGAACTGATTAGGTCATAATCACATTGGACATTATGTACGGCATTGTGGTGACATCACGTGACCTCGATTCTAGTTTCAATTCAAATGAAGGTAAAACAGCAAAGTTAAGGATTTACCTTTCGTCCAAGCGCATGGACGCCATCGATAACCTATTTAAAAAAATGATAATTAGTCGGGCTAGCCGTAGACAGTACGACTTTAGTTTTACCTTTCAAATTTCTATCATTGCATTCCTATCTATAACATCGGCTTTGTGCAACAGGAATCCCAAATGTTACATGGTACGGTGTATACTTTATCTGTATCTGTTGTTTACATGTCACCTTTTATTTAAATCTCACGATATTTGCATATTTTGACTAAACTAGCCTGCGTTACATCCGGTTTATTTCGCMAAAATAACCACGGTTCTTTTGGCAAATAAAACCGKATGTAACGCAGGCTAGACTTAACTAGACGCTCTATAATGACCAAAAACAAGATTGTACATAATAATCAAACAGTCAAGTGTTGCACATGGGGGGGGATTGGAGTGATTATTTGGTCAGATTAAAACTCGAGCAGGAGACTGTGGAAGAGATACTTGTGATATATAGCACATGGTCTTTAAATGAAGTTTTGTTTTTACTAAGTTTGTGTCAAGATGTCGAAGAAATCAGCAAACAAGGACGCTCAAACGACATACAAATGCACACGCCTTTCGCGGTAAACTCACMCTAAAAGATCTTAGAGCGTCAAGTCGGGCTAGGTATTTTTGAGAATTGAGAAAGACAGGATATTGCTCCTGGCTCGATATTTCAGTGTTTTGACATCGTTGCGCCATCGATGCCGTATCCGCGCACGCATATAATATCCTGTCCTTCTCAAATTTCCAAAGTAGCTAGCCCGACTTCACGCTCTAAGAGCGTCTTGTTTGAATATTAAAGTAGACTGACTGAAGGACTGACTTACACTTGGCATGTTCTGTTTTTCGTACAAATCCACAGTCTGAAATAAGTCACATCTCGCACAGCCATATCCTTCCATGAATTTAAGAAAGTTACCGATGTTTTCCATCTACGATATAACACAGAGTCATTAATGTAATCTAGCACCTCATATAAAGTCCAGCAGGAAAAAAAMCCATCTGATAATGCTTCAAATGGCGCATGAAAAATAACATTAACTGATTTTTATCAATGCAGAATATTGATTCTATTGGTTCTAGCTGTTTGTTAAACAAAAAAGAAACCTTACAAACTAGTGAAGAATATTGGCAGACAAGTAATGCATTTTTGTTTTATTCTCAAATTAATGTGTGATCAAAACTGAATTTCTTCAATGCAAAAATTGTTCACAGCTTCTTTGATTTAAATAATACTTGTCGGATATTTTAAATGATACTTGTCGGATGTTTTCGTTGCATCTTCAGCTGATCCAGCGAGCTTCTGGGTTTATTGTCATTCTGTGCAATGTAGAATTTAATTTATTAACCATCAAGTTTGGGACGAAAAATTTGGGCAGAATATAATTTCAATTATCACTTCAATTATCACCTCRACGAGAATCTTCTTCCGAACAAAAATGTTGTTCTATCTTTAGAATGAAAAAGACTCCACATGCCCTCTTTCACTGCATGAATAGTGACCGCCATTGGAAATGTCAACTTTTCAAGTGATTTGTATACAACTATTACTGTAATTTTGACAATATGAAAGAAGGTTGTGTGCATTCTTTAGTTTACTAAGGCTAGGGACCACTATGAATGTCGCACTAACCTGTTTAAAGGCCAGCTTTGAGTCGTGTATTTTTATATTTCCTCCAAGCTTGTTGGCCACCCTAAAGAAACAGACGTCAAGCCATTTTGCACTAATGGCAAGTTTCAGGCTTCCTGATAATTACTAATGCTAGGCATGGTGTATRAAGTCTCCTCGCAGCCGTTCTTAGTGTCGGTCTCCCTGTCCCACAGGGAGCCCGGCACAAAKAATGGGTGCGAGGAGGCTATGCTGTACGATGATGGTATTACTAGTGTTTTATGATGATAATGCAGGATTACCTGCAGAGAACAGTTCCACTTCGAAGAACTTGATGGACTTGATCCAGTCCCTCTTTGCCTTCAAACACGTTTTCCTCTAGAACAGCCTCGATCCATTCCCTTGCTTTGCTTTCTTGTTCGCCGTCGTACTTTGATTCAATCTATGTGCATACGATTAGAAAAGAAAAATACGAAACTATGATGTAATTAAGGTAGCATKTTGTTATTTGCCAAGCCGCACCAAAAAGTGTTCAAGTCACAAGACTTCTAAAGCTCAAATCTGCGAACTCGCTAAAAACAAACTCTTTGCTACCAGGGAACTTGAGACTCAAAGACTTTTTAATCTCCAATTGAACTTTTATACATTTACTTCCCTAATAGGTCAGATTGGAAAAACCTCTGCTTTATCAGTTTATTACCCAATAAAGTTTTATCATTTTTGATATTATTATTATTATTTTAATATTTTAAATAAATTTAGCGTTTGACTACCATTAACCGCTCTCCGCCGTATTTCTCTAGTTGTCTGAAGTTTATTTTAATATTCTATTTTGCATATAAGTAAAAATTCCCAATTGGGACTTTCGCCATGTTATTTTCAACTGTTGTGTTATGCAGCTTTCAAGTTAAAACTAGAAGCTAATCCAAAGGATAACATTTTTCCATTTAACTCAAACTAGAACTAAAATTCCAAATAAGGTTATAAGGTAAATTTCAAAGGAAGGCAGGSTTCATAGTCTTGGTTATTCTAAGCTTGCTTTTATTATGCTGTTTATCTCTGCCACTATGCAGATAGTACAACGACATGCACACACGTTATTTATTTTTTCTTTTCCGTTTTTGTTTATGCTGATTAAACAAAGCTTGCGAGTSTAGCAAGTCTGATCCGTCTAATGTCTGATAGTTTTGCCAAATACATTCTGATTAAATCATATATGTGTATAATGAAAAAGGGATTCCATGAGGTGGTTTTAAACAGTTAGAGTTGCGTGCTTAGAGGTCGTGATTGTGTTACTTTATAATATGAAACATAAGAAGCAAGCRSTGCGATGAGGCGATTTCTGCATAGATGTTTTGCCATATGGCATTTCTACCTAACCAACTATTCATTACAAACCAAATAGAAATCAGAAATAGAATAAAGCATTGCTCGTAGGGCAGGGGAATCGCATTAAAAATCCTCTCAAATTTAAACAATAGAAGTTTTTTTCTTCTTTTTAATATTAAAGAAAAAAATCAAAACCCCTGTATTTCGTGATTTTTAATTCAAAAATATATACAGCTATTAGAAAATTRAAAATTGAAAATATGCTGATTTTCAGAAAAYTTGATATAATTTAGTGACTGAAATTTTGGTAAATAATATTGTTGACTACACCCTCRGCCAGCTGTTACATCGAGATTGTTTAACTATACCAATAGGTCTACAAACTTGATCAAAAACTACGTTATTAATTCTTACTTTTCGTTTTGCTTCAGCTGAGAATCCATATCCTTTAGGTCTTGTCGTCATTCTGCCAAAATCCTTGCGAAGGAAACGAGAGCAAACTAACAAACACTGGTCCAAGTAGCGAGTATGCTGAAGTGACGTAGAATTTTTTCTCTGGTATGCTTGACATTTCTGTACCGTGACAGACATTTGAAACTCTTTTTATTGCCCACCTTTAAAAGGAGCTCATCTCAGCATCAAGGAGCCCGTTCTCCTTATTCTATGTTAACAGTCGTTAGGAGCATAGCAACAACAAGCTGTTTTCGTGATGTATTTTTCACAAGGAGGTAGAAAGCCAAGTTTTCTGACTGTAAAAATTCTGGTTATTGAAGAGTGATGACAGTATGGGCATGTGATGGGTCATTGTTTATCCATATAAGGTCTGGCATTATGGCATTCAGACAATACTCACCGAGGTGAAACCAGTAACGCTAGACACACATGGAATATAGCAAAACCTACTAAATACAAACAAAATGAATTCCAACAATTTGGCGGTGGGTGAACTAATGTAATCCCATTTCTACATTTGGATCTTTATTGATACTTCGTGCATGAAGTACAAAAATCAAAAAAAAGATAAGTCAATAGATGACGACAAATTGGGGTTGGTTACTTAACTTGTCGATATAGTAACACCTGAAATATAGGTATGCTGGGTAGGGGAGGGGTGGTGAAATATAGGTAAGCTGGGTAGGGGAGGG